ACCTGGGGCAGAGGAGGCTCGGGAGCAGGAGGATGCGATGAGCAGAAGAGCAAGAACAACTGCAGAGAGCTTCATCTTCCCGTCGGATGAGGGCTGCCTGAGCAGGACCAGGAGCTCAGGCAGATGCGGGGCAGTCTGCAGCAACTGGATGCAGATCCCTTTTAATAGGAAGTCCTGGAGTCAGCAGGGAGACGATCCAGTGGAAATTCCAGGATGATGACAGAGGATGTCACGAAAGTGAAATAGTAAAAAAAAAAAAAAAAGAAAAAGAAAGGCAGAAAGAATGGGATGTAGTTCACACTGGAGCAAGAATGCTGGGATACTAAGCTCTGAGTCAGCATTCGTTTTCATTTTTATCAGCTCAAAAGGAAACTCGATTGTGCCAAGTGGCATGACCACAAAGAAGAGTTCTATTCATCATAATTACAGGAGGGATTTTCCCTATGAGTCTGGATAGCAAAAGAAACAATGTTTGGTTAAGATTACACAACTCTGGAAAAAAACCAAGCCCAAGGAGCACTCGTGCTGCTGTTGTGCGGGTGCTTGTCAGGGGTTTGCTGCATGGCAGCATGAGGAGCACCGTGGGTCCGCACCACCGGTGCCCAGCAGGGAGCAGTGGGGTTGGGACCCCCCTACCTGTCCTGGGTTGGGATCAAACCCCCTCAGGGGCAGCACTTTGCACTGCTGAGCTGTGTGAGGTTCTGCCACCCCATTCCTAGCCTGCCCAGCTCTCTCTGCACAACACCACCACTCCTCCCAGCTCTGTGCTGTCTGCAGAACTGCCCGGGGTGCATGCTGTACCCTTCAGGTCATCAGGATACGGAATGGGGTTGCCCCCAGGGCTGCCCGCGTGGTGAAGCCAATGGGAGCCGAGCATGCAGCTGGCCATCAGCCCACATCACTGCCCGCTGCAGTTTGCCTGTGAGGATGCTACAGTCAGAGCCTGGCAGAATTCAAAACAACCTCTGCTCCTCCTCCTGTGGGCTCTCAGGCTCTGCCTGCCCACAGCCCCCTAACAGCCATAGGCCACCACAGACTGCAGGGTCCCACTGACGCACCCCAGGCATGAGGTGCAGGAGATCCCCAGCACAGGTGAGGATGTGCTCACATGAAGATCCCTGCTGCAATCCGCTTTACTGCATGTTCAAACCCAACATGGAGTTCGGGATGTCGGTGTGTGCAGCAGGCTGATGTACCCCCAGCAAAGCTGAGGACACACTTTTAATGAGCCAAAGCCTCTTTAGGAGCTGACAAAGGCATCAGGAAGGTGTGGGGCTTTGCTAGGCTCAGAGTGGGCAAGGCAGGGCTCTGCTTTCCCGGTGGAGCAGAGCAGATCCATATGGAGGTGCATGGCAGAACAGCAGGAGCTCCAGCCTTAGGATGAACTGCTGCAGAGTAATATCGAAATTCAGCTTTTTTGCCATGGAAATAAAGCGTGCATGAACAGACATTTGAGGCTTGTTCCCCTCTGCTTGCAACTCACGTGATAAGTGTGCACGGGGAAATCGCAGCCACCACACCCGCTGCTGGCTGCTGCATTTCCAGCGCAGGGGGGCTGTGGCTGGGAGCTCTGTGGCTAACACCAACGAGGGAGAGCTTTGCTCATGGAACTTCACACCTCCTGCAGCAACCAAGATGAGGGGCTGGGGCTTGCACTGTGCCGTCCTGCTTGGCACTGGGGAGGTGCAGTGGAAGTACAGCACAGCGCGGAGCAGTGCCCCCGGTTCAGAAGCACTGAGATGCTCAGTGGAAAGAAAGGAGCCATCGTTTATGGCTGTTGAATTTGGCCAGGCTGAGCTGGAGAGAGGAGGAGGACCTGGAAGGAGCTGCTGCAACCACAGCTGACGACAGTGCCACCAGCACAAACCTCCTGCGCCACAGCCCCCAGCTCCCTGCAGCTCATCCCGCTGCCCTGCGCCCTCTTTTGCTTCCAGCTCTCAGTTCTCTGCCCTGTGTCTGCTGGTTGCTCCACCCTAGGGCTCTTTGCCATCAGGAGGCTCCTGCAGCTCAAGCAATTTCCAGCCAATCTCTCTATCAAGCTTTCCCTGTTCCTGGAACTGAGCTGCTTTTATTGCTTTGGGCCCACCCAGCCATGGGCATGAGGTTTGTTTGGGTGTGGGGACAGCCATAAAAGAAAGCTACCGTTATTCACTAAGGAGGATTACAGGGAAGGATGCTGCAGGGTGCACTGCTCCTGGCACAGCAGAACCCTGGGGGTCCTGGAGCTCGGCTCAGCCATCACACAGCACCCCAACCCTGGAGCTTCAGGGAGAGCTGGGCTGCAGAACGGCTTCATGCAACTGTGGAACTTTCTTCTCCTCTTTGCTTGCAGATGCTGAACACACAAAGTCCAACGGGTTCATTGATAACCTGCCTTTACTTCCCACCCTGGAAGAGCTCTGGATTTTCTGCCTGCTTTTCCTGGGGCAGAAATCTTCCTGTAAGTCTGAGCAATGCATGTCCTAGGGCTCCAAAGGCACTGCAATTCCGTTTTCCCTGTTTCTCTCTTTGTCCAAGGACTGACAAGAGGCCAAAGCGAGGTGGATTTTTTTTATTACACTCTAATTTGGTTTGAAATACCTTACATTTAATCCTCTTTTGTTTGCTTTATTTCAAAACAAAGTCCAGGAAAAATCTGAGGCATGCATAGGGAAGCATTAGTTTTCCCCAATGTATTTTTCCAGAAACTGCCCCTGCTGGAAGAAGCATCCTGTGATGCGATACAGCCTCTTATCAGCACAGTCAGCTTGCTGAATCCTGTCTGCACGGCTGGCACAGGCTGGGATTCCCACCACAACACAATTTAGGGGAAACGCAAAGCCCGGAGCGGCCGCACAGCCCCCAGCCCTCACAGTGCTGCTTCTCTCACCAGAGGTTCCCACCGCAGAGGGTTGCAGGACATGACTTCATGCTGAACATTCCAATATTTCTCCAGAAGTGTTAAGAATAGGGAAGAAAAGGATCTCTGGATGCTTCAGAAAAGCCATCTGCAGGCGAGCCCCGAGCAAAGGGAGATGAAAGTGCTGCAGGCTGTGCTGGGGGCAGTTTCCGAACTCAGGACAGCTGTGGTACTTCCTTCTCCAAATGAATGCCAACAACTCAGCGTTAAAAACTGCTAAAAACAGCAGCTTACATCAGCCTCATTTGCAGTGTTCCTCTTTCATTGGTCACATTAAGAATTTCCCTACTTCTGTTGTGAGTAAATGTATTTGGGGCCTTTTCTTTACTTAGCACTTTCTCCTGGTAGTTGCGGGTGCCAGCAGACAAGCTCCAACACGCAGCATTATCCATGCAAATTAATGCAACACCACTCATTGCTCCAGACAGCCCGTCCTGCTACTCCAAGCATCGCCTGCCCATGGTGGGAGCATCGAAACCAGACGGAGCCAAAGTGGGAAAACATCACTTTCCACCACAGACTCTCCTACACTAACCCAGTTTCCCCTCAGGAGCTCACCTTGACCCTTCCACAGCCATCCCTCCACCCCAGAGCATCACCAGGTAGAGGTCCTTCATCCCAGACCCCCGTGGCTTCTCATTTTCCCAAAAGGGGAAGAGTGAGAATAAATGACTTTCTCATTTCATCATAATGGGGTTGTGGGGGTATGGGTGAGGACACGAGGACACATTTTTTAGGCGCTTGTTACAAAATCTCAGGGCATAGCTGATATGACTACAGCCTCCCACCTCTCTCCAGCACACGAATAGCTGGCAGGGTGGTGGTTCTAACAGATTTCTGGGGAAAAAACAGACTCTTAGGAAGTGAATACCCCACATTTGTCATTGTTTTTTGGCTTTCAGCAGTGGAAAAAAATTTGGCCTTTTCCTGGGCTCTGTAATAGTCATGCAATCATAGAACCACAGATTCACAGAATTGTAGAATGACTTGGATTGGAATGAACCTCGAAGATCTTGTAGTTGCAACAACTTATGTGGTCCAATAGTGATAGGATGAGGTGAAATGGCTTCAAACTAGAAGGAGGGAGATTTAGGTCAGATATGAGGAGGAAATTCTTCACCCAGTGAATTCACCCATTGAATTCTTCACCCAGTGCTGGCACTGCTGCCCAGAGCTGTGGGTGCCCCATCCCTGGAGGTGCCCAGGCCATGATGGGCAGCCTGAGCACCCGGCCCACAGCAGAAATAGGGCTGACGGGGGCTGTGAGGTCCTTTCCAACCCCAACCCTTTTATGACATTATGATTCAGTGACCTAATTTTTCTGTGTTAATGAGATCTTTTATCTTCCCCACCACTTCTCCCACCTGCCTTGCCTACGTCATGTACCTTAGGGAGCAGGACAGGACCAGATGGCCGTAGGTGGCAAATCTCAAGACACGACCCAGGAACGCTCAAAGTTACAGTCACAAGGAACAGCTCAGAGGCAAACCATGCTCTTACGTATGTCTGCAAGCTGCATTCCCTGAGCAACAAGAGAGAAGAGCCAAGAAGAACTCAGAGCTGGCTCCTGGTCCAGCTGGCTGAGCACCGGCTCCCCGCCGCCTGCCGGGCTGCGGAGGAACGCTCTCTCCTCATCTTCCAGATTCTGGGGGCTGAGCACAGGCACAAGCAGTGACACATCACAAGGCTGTGCTCCGTGTAACACGACCTGGGAAAACTGGAGAGTTGGGAAGGGAGGAACCTGATGAGGTTTAGCAACAGCAAGAGTAGAGTCTTGCACCCGTGAAGGAATAACTGCATGCATCAGTACAGAGCAGGGGATGACCTGCTGGGAAGCTCTGTGGAGAAGGGGCTGGGGGGCCTAGTGGACGACAGGTTGGCCATGAGTCAGCAGTGTGTCCTTGTGGCCAAGAAGGACAGTCAAAAGGCTATGTCAAAAACTGTGACCAGCTGGTCAAGGGAGGTGATCCTCCCTCTCTGCTCTGCCCTGCTGAGGCCACATTTAGAATACTGTGTCCAGTTCTGGGCTCCCCAGTTTAAAACAGACAGGGATCTTCTAGAAGGAGTCCAGCAGAGAGCCACAAAGATGATGAAAGGCCTGGAGCATCTGTCGTATGAGGAAAGGCTGAGTAACCTGGGTCTGTTCAGCCTGAGCGGAGATCAGTGTTTATCAGGGAGGTGAAAGGCAAATGGGTGAGGCAGGCTCTTCTCAGCACTGTGTAGCAATGGGACAAGGAGGTGTTTTAGGTGATGGCCTAAAACTTGAATGTAGGAAGTTCCATGCAAACATGCAAAAGAACTTCTTTACGGTGAGGGTGATGGAGTACTGGAACAGTGCCCAGAGAGGTGCTGGAGACTCCTTTTATGGAGGTCTTCAAGACCTGCCTGGACACCGACTTGTGTGACCTGCAAAGGGGTTGGACTCGATGATCTCTTGAGGTTCCTTCCAACCCCTGTAATTCTGTGATGCTGTTGGAGCTGGGGGGTGCCTGTGAGGTAGGCTTCAGAGACCCCTTGGTGATGAGCATTCCATGGGACCCATCCTGCTCACATCTGGGACTCCCCTGTTGGAGTGAGATTTGGAAAACATTCATCTTCACAGTTCCTGGTCTTAAGGAGCAGTGTCTTCTTCACCCTGCCCATAGATCTCTCTCCACTGTACACAGTCAGCATTCCTGTGCTCCATTTGGCTCTGCACATCTTTGTGCCCAGCAATGACCAGCTGCACCTCACCTACCAGGAGTCACTGACATTCAAGCATCTAATCTAACCTGGACATTTAAGGTCTTCTCCCCAACAGTAGGGAACGTGCTTAAGCAGGGGGTTGGACTTTACGATCCCCAGGAGTCCCTTCCAAACCCTACAATTCTGTGACTCTGAGTCTCACGGGACATGGATGAGGCAGGCATCTCCAGGAGCCCACGGCTGGCAGCCCCACATTGTGCTGCTGGGTCAGTGGGGGCTGTGCAGATCTGGGATGGAAGCAGAAGAGACCTCAGCCCCCTTTTTCCTAAGCTCAGTGTTCATCATGTGTGCAACTCCTGCTAGGATGCACTGTCATCTCTAAGCAGCTCATGCAGGTTAGGTAACACAGCCCTGCTGACAAATGCAGGGACCTCCAAAGCGGAACTTCTTACTAAAGGAAGATGCAGGAGAGAAGCAAAAATAGATATGGCGATTGTTTCATATCCTGTGCCACTGGGGAGGCTGTGGCCACCGCATTGTTCCATCATGCGACCGTGCTGCGATCAGCTCCTTCTCAGGGGGAAATTCCACCGTTCTACGCAAGCAGCTGCCCGGAGCCACGCACCCTATAAATTGGGCAGTTGCTGAATGTCTCAGCATCACAGAGAAGAGAGACCTCCGAGCTCCACTTGCACTCTCCAGCTCCTGCCACCACTCCCATCTGACATGAAGGTCTCTGTGGCTGCCCTTGCCGTCCTCCTCATCGCCATCTGCTACCAGACCTCTGCTGCACCAGGTAAGTCCTGGCTCTCCAAACCTCTCCAAATGAGGACCAGGGAGACGCTGCTGCTGGGACAGGATCCTCCCTGTCAGCCCTTCTACCACGGCTCCCTTCCCGGTCCCATGAGGGCTCTGCTCCCAGCTCCCTGCCACCTCTCCCTGCCCCATGCCCCTGCTCACAGCCTCCTTTGCCTTTGCAGTGGGTTCCGACCCGCCGACCTCCTGCTGCTTCACCTACATCTCCCGGCAGATTCCCTTCAACTTTGTGGCAGACTACTACGAGACCAACAGCCAGTGCCCTCGTGCTGGTGTTGTGTAAGTGTCCCCCTGGTCAGAGGGCTCTGCCTTTGGGCTGAGGATTCCTCTGCATTTTGGAGTTGGGAGGGAACAACTCCTTTCTGGAGGAGTAGGATGGATGCGCAGCCAATGGGTGCAAGGGGATGCTGGTGGGGCTCACACTGGTCCTGCCCCAGGGCTCTGCTGCCCGTGTGGCCAGCACCATGCACCCAGATTGTGCCGACTATCAGCAGGAGGGGGTGAGGAATGGAGGAGGGGTCGCCTCCACACAGGACTCTCCCATGGAATCTCACCTGGCTGCTCCCTGCAGGTTCATCACCAAGAAGGGCCGCGAGGTCTGCGCCAACCCTGAGAACGACTGGGTGCAGGACTACATGAACAAGCTGGAACTGAACTGATGCGCCAGGATGGGATGAGCAAGCAATGGCCAGTTGCAGGCCCTGCCAGAAATGCAACCGTGACATTGAGAGCTGCCCAAGAGACTGAAAATGTCCCCGAATCTGCTTTACTATTAATTGTTCATAATGGAAGGGAGCAGGTGAAATAATACCACTCCAATCAAATTGGAAGATTATTTAACAGATATATATATTTTTTTAAATTAAGAGTTATGTTTGGATTACGTTTTCTGTATTTAATGAATTGTATTTTTGATATAATATTTAATTCAAACGTTGAGAAATAAATATTTTTTGTAAGAAATTTCTGTCTTTGCTCTGTTTGTGTTGATCACAGCTGAAATTATAATTGTGATGACATCTTCATTTTTTGCCCAAGGAGGCTGTGGATGCCCCATCCCTGCAGGCATTCAAGGCCAGGCTGGATGTGGCTCTGGGCAGCCTGGGCTGCTGGTTGGAGACCTGCACACAGCAGGGGGTTGGAATTGGATGAGCACTGTGGTCCTTTTCAACCCAGGGCATTCTATGATTCTATGATTGATTCTCTTTACTAAGCTGGCAAAACCCCACAAGTTTCCCTATCTTATGTTTTGCAAAATAAGCAAAAGAGAGAAAAAGAAAAAGAGAAAGAAAAAGAGAAAGA